ATATGTAAGCATATTATGCATTCCTGAAATGAGCCAAACTTATTTATTTTCTGGATTTGGTTTGCTAAAATAATATTCAGGATTTTTGCCTCTGTGTTCAATAGTGGGTTTGGGGGTACCCAAGGTGGCTCAGTCACTCCCACACTCACTCTCTCTCTTGCAGAAATCTTAAAAAAAAAAAAATCATTTAAAAAAGTGGATTTTTTTTTTTTTTTTTTTTTAAGTTGTAAAAAGGATGCCTCAGTGGCTCAGTTAAATGTCTGACTCTTGATCTCAGCCCAGGTCTTGATCTCAGGGTCATGAGTTCAAACCTCTACTTAAAAAAAAAAAAAAAAAAAAAAAAGTGGGTTTAACCTGTTTTTTTATAACATATCAGGTTTTGGTTTCAAAGTTCTATGGCCTCAGAAAGACTTGGAGAGAGAGGTTATTGCCTCTTTTTTTATTGGCATTATTTTTTCTTTTAATGTTTGGAAAAAATTTACCAGTGAAGCCATCTGGACTTTTATTTTTGGTAAGGTTTCCAAGTATGGATTTAATTCATTTACAAATTATAGGATTAGACCTATCTTGTGTGAGTTTGGTTAAGTTTCTCTAGTAATCTATGACATTGGACTTTTTAAATTGATATTGTTTGATCAAACTTGTTTATAATACACTCTTAGTAGTCTTTGTAATATGGGTAGAATCTGCAATGATGCCCTCTTTTTTCATTCCTCACTTTGGTTATTTTTGTGTATTTGTTTTGCTTTATTTAGTCACTCCTGCAAGTGTTAAGTCTTTTTAAATAATCAACTTTGGGCTTTGTTGATCCTCTCTGTTGTATGTTTATTTTGCATTTTCTTCTATTTTTTTTTTTTTTAGATTTTATTTTTAAGTAATCTCTACACCCAAATCAAACTAACAGCCTTGAGCTCAAGAGTCGTGTGCTTTACAGACTGAGTCAGCCTTCATTTTACTTATTTCTGCTGATTATTATTTTCTTTCTACTTTCCAGGGGCTTAATTTATTCTTTTTCAAACAATTTGATATGACTGCTGAAAAATTTCTTTCAGCCTTTCTGCTTTCATATTAATTTAAAGCTATAAATTTCCCTCTGAACAGGGCTTTAGCTGCTGTTCACAAGGGATTTTTTAAAAGTTATTTATTTATTTAATTAATTTTTTAAAAGTTGAGATGCAACTGACCTATAATATTGTGCAAATTTAAGGTGTACAGAGTATTGGTTTATATACTGCAATATGATTACCACTGTCATGTTAGTTAATACCACTATCACATAATGTAATTTATCTTTTTTGTAGTAAGAACAATTAAGATCTAGTCTCTTAGTAGGTTTGAAATTTGTAATATAGTACTATTGATTATAATCACTGTGCTGTGCATTGATCTCCAAAACTTATTTACTAGTTGTTAAATTTGTACCCTTAAAGAAGCATTTTATTTTTATTTTTAAAGATTTTATTTATTTATTCATGACAGAGAGAGAGAGAGAGAGAGGCAGAGAAACAGGCAGAAGGAGAAGCAGGCCTCACCCAGGGAGCCCGATGTGGGACTCGATCCCAGGTCTCCAGGATCACGCCCTGGGCTGAAGGTGGTGCTAAACCGCTGAGCCACCTGGAGTCTGCCTTGGGGCTTGATCCCAGGACCCTAAGGTTACAACCTGAGTCAAAGTCATACACTTAACTGACTGAGCCACCCAGATGCCCCCACCATATAAATTTTGATAAGACTATTTTTATTATCATTCAGTAAAAAATTGGTTTTCCATTATAATTCTATTTTTTTCTCCATGGGCTATTTAGAAGTACATTTGCTGGGGCACCTGGGTGGCTCAGTCAGTTAGTGTCTGTCTCTTGACCTCATCTCAGGTCATGAGTTCCTCCAGGGCATGAGTTCAGGCCCCACTCCTCGCTCCTGGATGGGCTCCTCAGTGGGCATGGAGCCTACTTAAAAGCAAAAAGTACATTTGTTAATTTCTAAATATGGGGGATATTTCTGATTGTCTTTTTGTTATTTAATCCAGCTTAACTGCATTGTGGTCAGAGAACTAGTCTGTATGATTTCAGTCATTTGGAATTTGTTGAGACTTGTTTTATGACTGATTTATGGTGAAAGTTTCATCCTGCTCATGAAGAAAATGTCTATTCTTCAGTTTTAACTTCTGATTTTTTTTTTTTTTTAAACTTCTGATGTTTTGTATGTATGTGCTGGTCATGTTTTTTATGTTCAGGTTTTTATCCTTAATGATTTTTTTTCTCCTTCTAGTTTTGACAATGTTTGTTTTATTTTGAAGCTGTTTTTAGTTGTGTACAGATTTAGAATTATTATTACTGTTTTTAAAGATTTTTATTTGAGAGTGAGAAAGAGCACAAGCCAGGCAAGGGGTGGAGGGAGAAGCAGGGAGCCTGACATGGGGCTCAAGCCTGGGATCATGACCTGAGCTTAACCGACTGAGCCACCCAAGTTCCCCCAGATTTAGAATTACTATCTCTTCCTGAAGAATGGAATCTCCCATAGTTTCCAGTAATATTTTTGCCTTTATTAATACTTTGTCTAATAATATTTCTATATGTTTTACATGTGCTGTGGTTTTCTCTTTTGTTAACCTAGCACTTGTGTTTTCTTGGAATATTTAGTACATTTACATTTAATGGGACTGCTAATATGCTTGGGTTCTCATCTACCATCATATTTAATGCTTTTTGTTTGTTTTGCCAGTTCTGTGTCTGTTTTCTTAGTTAATCCCTTTGGAACTTGTTACTGTTTCACTTCTCTCTCTTATTACTTTGGAACGTATTTATATATCTATTATTACTTAGTGGCTACTTGAGAAATTTCAGTATCTGTCACTTACCAGTGTCTTACATTAATTGGTATTTTTCTCCTCTTCCTGGACAATAGAAGACTTTAGAAGACTTTAATTCCATTTAACCCCTTCTCATCTCTTTTGCCATGGTTGTCACGCATGTTCATTTTAAACCCTGGAGGACGTTACACAAGCCATGTTTTATACAGTCAAGTGAATTTAGGTCGGTGGCTATTGACTGGAGGCATTATGAGTATCATCTGGGAAACTTTTGCAAAATAGAGATAGCTGGCTCCAATTTGGACAAATGACATCAGGATCTCTTGACAGAGGGTCAAGCATTAGCATTTCCTAAAAACCCCTCACGTAATTCACACTTGTAGTAAAATTGAGAGGCTCTGATATAGATTTACATATTTATTCTCATTTTTTATGCATCTCTGACCTTTCCAGGATAATTTTTTGACTCCAAAACACTTTAGAATTCTAAGGGTTGGTTGGCTAGTGATGTATTCTTTCACCAAATATCTTTTCCATTGTCCTTCTTGACAGAGATAGGCTCATTGAGAACAGAATTTTCTTTCCTCATCTTACAGCATTTACTCCATTCCTGATATTTTGTTACCAATATCCTAATATGGAATATTATCAACAACTTGAATTTGTTGTCAGCATAATTATACTCTTTTGAAAATAATGTGTTCCTAAGTCTACTTTTAAGCTTTTCTCTTTGAATCTGGTTTTCAACAATTATGCTATTCTATACTTAGGTGTAGTTTTTTTTTTTTTTTTTAAAAAGGTTCTCTTTGGGGTTTCTGAGTGGCTCAGTTGGTTAAAGGTCTGATTCTTTTTTTTTTTAATTTTTTTTAAATTATTTATGATAGTCATACAGAGAGAGAGAGGCAGAGACAAGGCAGAGACACAGGCAGAGGGAGAAGCAGGCTCCATGCACCGGGAGCCCGACGTGGGATTCGATCCCGGGTCTCCAGGATCGCGCCCTGGGCCAAAGGCAGGCGACAAACCGCTGCGCCACCCAGGGATCCCTAAAGGTCTGATTCTTGATTTCAGCTCAGTCATGATCTTGGGGTTGAGGTATCTGCTGGGTGTGGACCCTACTTACTATTCTCTCTTCCTCTCCCTCTGTCCCTCCCTATTTGCCTGCTCTCTCTCTCTCAAAAAAGAAATTAAAAAAAAAATATTCTTGTAGACCTGCTTGAGTCTGTGGTTTGATGACTTTAATCAGTTTTAGAACATTCCCAGCTATTTTCTTTTTAAGTATCGTTTAAAAAATTATTTATTTATTTATTCATGAGAGACACACAGAGAGTCAGAGACACACAGGCAGAGGGAGAAGCATGTTCCCTGCAGGGAACCTGATGCGGGACTGGATCCAGGGACCCTGGGATCATGACCTGAGTCAAAGGCAGAAGCTCAACCTCTGAGCCACCTGAGCATCCCTTTTTTAAGTATTTAGATATTGCTTCCACCTAATTTTCTCCTTTCCCATGGGACTCCAAAAACAAACATCTTAGACATTGCCACTGTGTTTTCTGTGTCTCTCCAGGCCTCATTCGATAGTTTTTCTTCTGGCCCATCTTTCTGTTTACTAATAATTATTTCAACTATATTTGATCTGCCTTGAAGTCCATCCATTGAGTTCTTATTTATAGTTAATATAGTTTCAGGTTTTTTTTTTTTAACTTTTATTTAAAGATTTTACTCCTATATTTGAGAGAGAGATCGCACAAGCTAGGGGGAGAGAGGCAGCGTCGACTCCCCCCACTGAGCAGAGACCCCAATTTGGGGCTCGATCCTAGGACCTTGGGATCATGACCCGAGCCAAAGCCTGACTGAGCTGCCCAGATGCCCCTGTGGTTTCAGTTTTACAATTAAAATTTTAAAAACATTAAAAAAAAGTTTTTTTTTTTGAGGTTTGGCTGTTACTCCAATTATCATACTATATAATATTAGTTTTAGTAAAAATGTGGCATGCTTGGGGTGCCTGGGTGGCTCAGTGGGTTGGATGTCTGCCTTTGGCTCAAGTCATGACCTCACAGTCCTGGGATCGAGCCCAGCATCAGGCTCCTTACTCAGCCGAGAGCCTGGTTCACCCACTCCCCCTGCTGTTCCCCCTGCTTGTGCATGCTGTCTTGCTTGCTCTCTCTTTCTTGCTGTCAAATAAATAAAATCTTAAAAAAAAAAAAAATGCTTCATGAATTTGTCTTCCTTGTGTAGAGGCCATGCTAATCTTCTCTATATCATCCCAACTTTAGTATATGTGCTCTGAAGCAAGCTCCCGACAATCAACATGGAGGTAAAACATTGCAGTAAGTGGTTCTTACTAATCAGAAAGCCAAGGAAAAACTCTTCTAAGGCCCTCAGTTTCTCAGCTATCGAACCACTATCAGTAATTGTCCTTTATGACTCAGATGTGTATGATCTATCTCAGGGACCTATTTGCCACTTCTTAAAATCTTTTATTAAAAATGACTGAGATTCTGGGGTACCTGGCTGGCTCAGTTGGAAGAACATGTGACTCTTGATCTTGGGGTTGTGAGTTCAAGGTCCACATTGGGTGTAGAGATTACTTAAAACAACTATTTTTAAAAAGTGACTTGAGATTCTAAATTGACTCCTTACAAATGATAATTAAAGGCAAGCTTTAGAATGTATCATGTGTTAAAGAAGAAATACAAAATCATTGAGAAAAATTTAGACTGTTACAGGTAAAGCAAAACAAAACCAAAAAATTAACCGATTAAAGAATTAAAGTATTTACCATTTGGATAAATAATTTATTTTCCCACTCTTTTTATACATCTTACTTAAAAACAATGGATATTACCCGTTTCCCTCCCATTTGACATACTGAATAACTTTCCAGGGTCTTAAATATTATACAATACTTTTGGTTGAATCACTCTGTGGTTTGGGGATTTTGAACTCCCTGCATTTAAAAAAAAAATTAGTATTATTCTTTTTAGCCGATGTTACTAAAAAGTAACATGATTAAGATGGAGCAGAACACACATACTACATGTTGGTGCATTTGGAAAAATGCCCCAGAACCCTTCTCTACTTGCATCCTGGGGTCAGCTCTCTGAGGGGACAGCCACCTGGGCAGGACTGCCCTTCCAAGGCTTAGCAAGGCTTAGGAGAGGGGTGCCAGAATAGACCAGCCTGTCACAGGGTCCTCTGCATTCTGGCCACTGGACTTCTCCGTGGAGGTCTTCCCCAAGCAGGGGACAATGTATATGTGGTAAGAGCAGAGCGTTTTCTTCATTAGGTGTGGCTGGTCACGAAAGGGACAGCTGTCCAGGTTGGGCTGGGACTTGGTACATCTGGTTCGGCCAGTCTTGGCGCCCAAGAAGTAGTTCATCCCAGCCACAACTTGCTCGTGGAGGCCCACCCCCTGAGCGCCACCTGCAGTGCCCTCGCTCGCCTTGTTGGACTTGGTTAGGGCAAAGTTTGACACCTGCCGCGCATCCTCCTCATTGACATGGTCAGCTGCCCACGGGGTGCCCACCATTGGAGACCGGCTCCTGTTCATGCCAGGGCTAGGGAAAGGGACAGGGCCAGGGTGGCTGGCAGGGTGCGCAGGGGCCCAGCCATAGTGTGGATGAAGCTTAGAGAGGAGTGATCCAGCAGTAGCCCTCCCTGCATTTTTAAACGTACAATGTTTATACACCCTAAGTCGCTTCCATACCCTGAATATGGAGAACTTAAAATGATGCAGACGTTTCCAGTTACTGCAGAAGAATGCTGTTGACCATCAGTGGTTGGGTATTTGCAGTATTGGAATTACAATTTGAATATATGATTGCATTTTGCTCTTATATTATAAGAATAAGTGAGAAAATGGGAAGCAAAGTGCTTATTGTATTGATAAAAAGTACGTGGCTTAAGTGTTGGTTCTTATGTGGTGCTTTCTGGAGTCTTTGAAGTTAGGGGACCACTCAGTGGGCTCCATGATGTAGGAAAGTGAGGGAATGTTTTTATGTATTTTATTATCACTGTTCTTTGAAAAGATTTTGAGTGAGAGAGTGAGCAACCATGTGGGGGTGGGGGTCGGGGGTGGGGGGAGTGTAGAGGGAGAAGCACACTCCCCCTGAGCAGGGAGGCCCAGTGGGGCTTGAGGTGGACCTCCATCCCAGGACTGTGGGATCATGACCTGAGCCTGATGCCCATGCAGAGGTCAGTCTCAAAACCCTGAGATCATGACCTGACCTGAAATCAAGAGTCTGATGCTTAACTGCCTGAGCCACCCAGGGGCCCCTGTTTAAGTAGCCTCCAGGCCCAACCTGGGGCTTGAACTCATGACCCTGAGATCAAGCGTTGCATGCTCTTCTGACTGAGCCAGCCAGTCGCCCCAGGAAGGAGTGTGTTCAGATGCTGGAATTAAGTTTTCAAGGATATTTTTTTGTCCTGAAACACTGGGAGTAATTGAGATTTGTAGAAATCATTACCTTTCTTGTAGCAAAATCCCCAAATAACATGCATATCTTTGAACTTGCTCATTTTTTTCAAGAATATATTATATATAAAAGCAAGGATCTTCCCATGCTGTAATTTATTTAATTCATTCCTCTGTAATTGGATATTCATATTTCTGTTTTTTCTCTAATGTAAACCGTATATGATGGATAGTGCCTCTTTTGTTTTATCATTTTAGCTGTATCTCAAATTGACATTTAAAAGAACCTTTGGATATAACTTGTTTTAAAGTTGAAGACTTTAAAACCATGGTAATTGGTTCATTTGAAATTCTTCATAGTCATCATTATTAGCCCATATTTATTAAATTGCTGTATGCAGGGCACTGTGACAGCAGAAATAACACTCTAGCTGCAAGCAGCACATGAGTTACTAAGATGATAAATGAAAGAAACCTTTAATGTTGTTGGAAAAGTGATAGTCAACACTTCTCCAGTCTTTTATTTTTTTAAGGATTTTATTTATTCATGAGAGACAGAGAGGCAGAGATACAAGCAGAGGGAGAAGCAGGCTCCCTGTCGGGAGCCTGATGTGGGACTCAATCCCGGGACCCCGGGATCACACCCTGAGCTGGAGGCAGATGCTCAATTACTGAGCTACCCAGGCATCCCTCCAGTCTTTTAAAATAGATGATTTTAACCCAGTTTATCTTTTTTAAAAAAACTTTTTTCTAGGGTTTATCTCCAAATATTTTATATATGCCAGCCTAAGATGAAATGTTTTTCTGAATTATACAACTGAAACTTTTCCTTCCTTCCTTCCTTCTTCCTTCCTTCCTCCTTCCTTTTCTTCTCTCCGCCTCCCTTTCTTTTTAGAGAGCCATTGCACCTGCATGTGTGGGGAGGGGGAGAAGGAGGGGCAGAGGGAGAGGGAGTATCTTAAGCAGGTGTCATGCCCCGCATGGAGCCCAATGCAAGGCTCAGTCTCACGACTTTGAGATCATGACCTGATCCGAAATCAGAGGCTTAACCAACTGAGCCACTCAGGTGCCCCGTAATTTTTTTTTTTTTTATAAAATATGCATAACATTGAATGGTTTTAAAATGGTCAATTTTAAGTGTATAGTTTAGTGGCATTAATTCCATTCACAGTGCCCTGCAACCATCAGCACTATCCATTTCCAGAACTTTTCATCAAACAAACTCTGTACCCATTACCCATTAAATCCCTGTCTCTTCCCCCACCCCAAGCCCCTGGAAACCTCTCTTAACGATTTAAAAAAAATTTTGTTTTCCTTTCTTATTAATTTGCCTATTCTTATAAATGTTCTTATAAAACATTATACTGTTTTCAAAGAAAATGTATCAGAATGGCATTCTTTTTTTAAAGCTGAATAATATTCCATTGTGTGTATATATGCCACATTCTGTTTATTCATTCATCCTTTGATGGACATTTGGGATGTTTCCACTTTTTGCTTATTGTGAATACTGCTGTGGTAAACATTGGTTTATTTGTATCTGAGTTCCTCTTTCAATTCTTTTGGGTATGTACTGAAAAGTGTAATTCCTGGATCATATGGAAATTCTCTGTGGAACTTTTTGGGAACTGCCAAATTGTTCTCCATAGTGGCTGCACAATTTTACATTCCCACCATCAGTGTGTGAGCTTTCTAATTTCTCCACATTCTTGCCAACAGTTATTTCTGTTTTTTTGGGTAATAGCCATCCTAACAGGTGTGAAATCATATCTCATTGTGGGTTTCATTTCCCTAATGATTAGTGATGCGGAGCATCTTTTCATGTTGGCAGTTTGTGTATCTTTGGAGAGATGTCTATTCAAGTCTTTTGCCTGTTTTTGAACTGGGTCTTTGTTGTTGAGTTGTAGGAGTTCTTTATATGTTCTGAATATTCATCCCTTATCAAATATCCCATTCTTTAGGTTGTCTTCCCTCTCCTGATAGTGCCCTTTGTATAGAAGTTTTTAATTTTGATAAAGTCCAATTCAGCTATTTTGTGTCTGTGCTTTTAGTGTCATTATCTAAGGAATCATTGCCAAATAAAATGTGAAGATTTGCTTTGTGTTTTTTTGTTTTGCCATTGTGTTTTCTTTTAAGACTTTTACATTTTGGGGTGCCTGGGTAGCTCAGTTAGTTAAACATCTGACTTTGGCTCAGGTCATGATCTCAGGGTTCTGGGATCGAGCCCCATGTCAGGCTCCGTTCCCAGAGTTTTATCTTTTTAGCTGTTGTGTTTAGGTTTTTGATCCATTTTTAGTTAAATTTTGTTTATGGCTTAAAGTAAGGGTCTAACTTCATTCTTTTGCAGGTGACTGTCCAGTGTTCCCAGCAATATTTCTTGAAAAGCCTGTCTTTTCCCTGTTGAATGCTCTTGGCACCCCTGTCAAAAATTATTTGATTATATATGCAGGTGTTTATTTCTGAGCTCTCCATTGTGTGTGTTTATCTTTATGCTAGTACTACACTGTTTTCATTACTATGGGTAGCTCTGTGGTAAGTTTTGAAGTCAGGAAGCATAAGTCTTCCAACTTTGATTTTTTTTTTTTTCAAGACTGAGATTCCATATGAATTTTAAGATTTCTAAAAAAACTTCTGCAGAAAACACTTGGGATTTTGATGGTGATTGCACTGAATTAGTAGACTGCTTTGAGTAGTATTGTCATCTCAGTATTAAATCTTTAGGTCTTTCACATAAATTTTTGTAATCAAATTGTTTATAATTGATATACTGTGATTAGTTTTTAGTTTATACTATAACTTCCAGGTGTTAGGTTGTGTGGTTTGTTTTTTTTTTTAAAAGATTTTATTTATTTATTTGAGAGAGACAGAGATAGCAACAGAGA